ATAACATCATCATTGTCCATGAGGTCATGCACCATTTCAAGACTCGCCCAAAAGGCGGGAAGTGGGAAATGATGATTAAGATGGATATGAAGAAGGCTTACGATATGGTTGAGTGGGAGTGTCTGGAGATTATCCTGAGAGCTATGGGTTTTGCAAATCAATGGTGTCTTTGGATCAAGGAGTGCATTGAGACTGTGTGATTTTCGGTCTTGTTCAATGGTCAACCCTCAGAGTTCTTTCAGGCGTCCAGAGGCATCCGTCAGGGAGACCCTCTCTCTCCATTGCTTTTCATTCTCCTTACTAATGCGCTTTCTTTTCTCATTTCCAAGAGTGTTCAGGAAGGTACTTTTCAAGGCATTTCTCTTAACCCAAATTGTCCTAGACTTACCCATGTGCTTTTTGCAGATGACACAATTCTGTTTGGGAAAGCTTCTATGGCAGAGGCTATGCATATTAAAAAAACAATGGAGACTTATGGCAAAATGACGGGGCAGGAGATCAATTGTGAAAAATCGGCCCTCGCTTTTAGTCACAACACCCCTGATACTATTAAGCAGATCATCGCTCAATGTTTGGGTATCCCTCTTGAAAAGGGTTTGGGAAAATACCTGGGGGTCCCTACCGAATGGGGCAGATCAAAGAAAGAAGTCTTCTCGGTTCTTGTGAGGAGAATGGAAAAGCTTTGTCAAGCTTGGAAGGGTCTTGCTCTTTCTCAAGCAGGAAAGGAAACAATGTTGAAATCGGTCTTTCAGGGTTACCCCACATATATTATGTCCTGCTTCCTCCTTCCAAAAGGGACGACTAAGAAGATGAATTCACGCCTCAATGCTTTCTTATGGGGAGGGGACATAGAGAAGAAGGCAATCCCATGGAGAAAAGGGAGTGTTTTAACGGCTCCTAAGCAGGAAGGAGGTATGGGGTTTAAGGACTTCCATCAATTCAATATGGCCCTGTTGGCGAAGCAAGGTTGGAGAATTCTTAATGGGAAGGAAGAGACATGGATCAAGCTTCTTAAGGGTCTCTATTTTCCTAATGGTGATTTTATGGAGGCTGAGAAAGGTAGGAGGCCATCCTGGATTTGGTCTAGCATTTGTGAAGCAAAATCCATCTTGAAGTTGGGTTCTCGAAAGAACATGGGAAGTGGTAGATCGATCTCGTTGGAAAAAGACCCTTGGATTCCAGGTATCCCAAACTTTAAGTTGCAGCCGAGGAATAGACAACAACTGTGGGCTTTTCAATGGGTTATGGATGATGGGTGTGAATGGAACCTTGACATTATCCAACAAAGCTGCTCTACGGATGAAGTGGAGGCTATTAAGAGAATCCCAATTGGCACGGATTCTTCTGAGGATGACTGGGTTTGGCATTTTGAGAGATCAGGGTTGTTTTCAGTGAAATCAGCTTACCATATTTTCAGGGAGTCAGAAAGAGATCGGTTGGGGACCTCAAACCCGAATCATCCTAACTGCACCTCAAAAGCTTGGAAATGGCTTTGGAGTCTTTCTTTGCCTCCAAAGATCCTCTCTTTTCTGTGGAGGATATCGAGGAATGCGATTGCTACGAAGGGAAATCTATGGCATAGAAAATGTAGTACATCCCCGCTTTACGATGTCTGTGAAGGGGATGTGGAGGATGTGTGGCATTGCTTCTTCTAGTGTCCTCACACTGCTACAGTTTGGCAGATCCTTCAGCCTTTGCTCTCTTTGCCCCAGGACCAGACGCCGGTTGTTATGTGGTTATTGGATATCTGTGTTGGTTCCCCTAGAGTCTCTATACCTGGGGTCGTGGCTTGCCTTTGGGCTATCTGGTTGGCCAGGAACGAGAGAGTCTTTAAAGGTATCATCCTCCGCCCTTCAGTGACTTCAGCAAATGCAGTTAGAGATTTCTCTTTCTGGACGACTCCCCTTCAGCATCCTACCCCCCTCGGTGTCCAAGCCCAACACCTCTCTAACCATAACACACTTAGCCCACCGCCTAGTTCTTCCCAGTGGGAAATTCACTGTGATGGATCTTTTAGATCGGAATCACAAGTGGCGGCTTATGGGGTCATCATTAAGAACTCCCATGGGCAAGTTGTGGATGGTTGTGTTGGCACTTTCTTCTGTTCATCAGCGATAGTTGCGGAAGCAAAAGCTCTCTTGACGGTAGTGAGAGCAGCAGTCTCCCTCCACGGTTCAGCTTCTATCTTCTCGGACTGTAAGGTGCCTGTGGATATCATTCAAGATCAGCATAAAGTAGGTCCTTGGCAAGTGAGAGCTTGGATTCAGTGGATACGCAATCTGCTCAGAGTGAAAGTCGGATTATCTATTTGCTTTACCCCAAGATCTTGTAACAGAAGTGCAGATTGGGTGGCAAAAGAAGCGGCAAATGGATCTCTCTCCCAAGATTGGATCCAAGTGCTTAATATTATTGATCCGATGTTGTAATGTGGCTTTGCTTGTACTTGTTCGTTGATGGAATGGAAATCACATATTGTCAAAAAAAAAAAAGTTTTTGGGAAGAGAAAGAAGAGGGAAATTTGGTTCTTTTAATTTTTTTAGAAAAGAAACAAGTGGGAATTTTGGTGGTTTTGATGTGGGAAGAGAAAGAAGTGGGAAAGTTTGATTCTTTTGATTATGAAAGAGAAATAAGAAGGAAAACTTTTAACTTTTCAACTTTTTGTAGAAGGAAAGAAGAGGGTAATTTGGTTCTTTCAATTTTATGGAAGAGAAAAAGGAGGGAAAATTGAGTTTTTCTAATGTATGGAAGGAGAAAAAGGAGGGAAATTTTAGTATTTTTGTGAAAAGAAAGAAGGAAACAAATTTGGTGTTTTCAATTTTTTGGTTTTTCATAATTTTAGCTTTTGAAATATGAATCTTTAACTTTTATATGGAGGGCATGACTAGTTAAAATTATTCTTATATGCTTTGAAGGCTAATATGTATATATGTATTGACTCGCTAAAACACAACTCCTAACAAAGGCCAAGTGTAACCAATGAAAGGGACTGCAGTATAGTGGCTCAAGTGATAAATATCGAATCCACGGGTCTCTAGAGTTACTATTACTCAACTTCAGTTTATTATTTAGCAAATCAGATTAAGATGAAAGAACTAAAAAAACTCTAGCAAACTACAGTTAAAGTTAATCTAATTAGAGGTTGGGAACTCACTTAGGTATGATTCCCCCTAGCCACTAGCCAGATTAATGATTGATGATCTCTAACCTGTTTCACTTTCATTCACAATGCGGAGAATCCTTGACTAGACCTTGAGTCTCGACTAAAGGAACAAGGCCCTCTTGAGTCAATTGCCTAGAGGGACGTATCCTTCTCTAGAACAACTGATCAAGGCGTTCTGAACTAGACTCCCTCTATCGAAAGAGGTTCTCAATCGATACAAAGCAGTGAATCAACCCTCGACTAAAGCAATCGATCCACTACTATCAATCTATGGAGCTCTATTGACCTAATCAGGTATTCCCTCTCATAGGATCAAAGCAGAATCAATAATCTCGACTAAAGCAGAATTGAATCATGAAAACATGCATAGATTGAATATGAACTCAAGATTATCCAGTCAGAGTACTCATACAATCATCCAATCAAACATAGCTAGGGTTCCTCAAAACCTAAGTGAAGGGAAGTTACTCCATAGAGAAGAGAGAGACTGCAGTAAGAATCTTCAGATGATCAGTCTTCAAGTCCGGGCTTGTTCCTCGAGCTTCCAAGGCGAAGAAATCCTCCTTCTCTACTCCAAGAATGCCCTCAAATCGCCCTCTCTCTCTAGGGTTCGTCTCTTGGGTGTTTGGGATCCAAAACCCAGCTCTCCCTCTCATTTGGCTCGAATTTGGGTTAAATACAGCCATTCCCGACTCGCACGGCCAGGGTGCACGGCCGTGCACATCACCATTCTGGCCGTGCACCTCAAAACGCGGCGTATCAATTAGTTGAACCTCAGCCAACTCGCACGGCCAGAATTGTATGTTGCACGGCCGTGCGGATTTCACTTGTGCCCGTGCGTGCCCACGCACAATCCCGCACGGCCAAACTGGTCACTTGCACGGCCGTGCGTGGCCACGCACAATCCCGTGCGTGCCCACGCACGATCCCGCACGGCCATGCAGCCTCCCTGGTCTGCCCGTGCAGCTTGCTCAGCCTCTGTTTAATGCTTCGTTTCTCCCTCGTCCGGACTCCGAATCAATCGCCGTTTGATCCCAGACGCTCGTAGTCTCGTCCTCTTTCGTTTCATAACAAGCTTGCATGATTCTTTGTCCATAAAGTGAGGTAGAAATCCATTCTTCTTCAGGTCATGCCCGAGTTTCTTCTCTCGAATCGTCAATTGATCTCTGATTGACTTGAAACTTGCGCCTATGCTTCACTTTATGTGCTAGGACCTGAAATGGGACAAAGGAACACAACCTAGCATAAAATAGGCCAAAGACGCAATAATTCAAGCTCAAACAATCAAGAAACAAAGGGGGAAACATGTGCAAATACCGAGTCATCAAATCCCCCCACACTTAACTGTTTGCTTGTCCCCAAGCAAACCTAACTCAAACCAATGCAACTCTTCAGACCTCTATAGCAACAAACACCCCAGATCGTAGGTAGAGGACTTCCTAGATCATTTAGCAACTTACGAGGTCAACCGACACACAAGTCATCTCATAGCTTCTTCGGCGAGAGCACTAGTATCGAGTCGGCATCATGGCAAACAGTGAACAGAGGACAAATGAATTGTGGATGAAGAGATTCTCAAAAACAAAAGATCATGGACTCACATTTTTCAAGGTGCTCGATTTTCTTTGAAGATGGTTGGAACCCCTTTTTTCTGTTTTGCTTGTTTTCTGTTATTTTTCTTTTCTTTTTTTCTTTTCAAGGGTCCCAACCTGCTCTTACCGGCCATGCCAGGAGCGGATGTCTCGAGCCTCGTGCGGGGGAAAGACATGTAAGGGGGCTGGAGGTAGTAGGTGGAAATTGGGAACGGATTCCCGTCTCCCCTTACACACTTTCGCCCTATTCGCACGGGAGACGTTTATTTTGAAGCACATTTTCGAGCACCTGTTACTTTCAAAACATGATACAAGAGTCCATGACAGGTAGAGAATCCACAACACCACACAATTCAAGGGTCCTAAGATCACTAATTCACTCAATCAACCAACTTTATATGAAGAAGAAATGAGACTTCTTAAATGCATCAACATCCTCCATAGTGCTACACTACCTCCCTAGGTTGCATATTACTGTAAAGACTGTCAATTCAAAGCATACTGAGCAGGCAATTGCATGGAACACGTACTTGGAGCCCTCAAATTTAAAAATTTGGACAGTGGACTAGGCTCCAAGCACACAAACAGCCAAACATTCACCCGCATACATAATCGAACATCCCCCCACACTTAAGCACGACATTGTCCTCAATGGAGGAAAGATAAGGAGGGTAGAACGAAGTTACCAGATCAAGGGTGAATGATGATGAACGGGTCAGGCGGTGCATTCCAGAAAGAGAGAGTAATCAGAACACAAACACCACACAAAATCTCACAAAAGTTGAGTTATTGACTCTAAAATCAAAGAACAAAACTGACTCCACCGAGGAGAAATAGAGACAGAAATGCAAACCGACTGGTTGGGTTGCCTCCCAACAAGCGCTTCTTTCACATCGTGAGCCGGACGATGGCTCCTAAGTTTCGGTCCATGCTAGAACCTCCTTGAAGTTGAGGTTCTCGTCGATGAGGTGGAGTCTCAAGTCATGAGCATGTGATGTGGCAGGTGATGAAGGCTCATGTACTTGATGCAGATGAAGTCTCCACCCTCGAGACCTCTCCTTCTTTTCTCTCGTCTCATTGCCCCAAACCAGATATGACCGTATCGATTGGCCACCATCGCGTCCACCAAGAGGGACTGATGTTGATGTGGCCTTGGTCTGGCAAAGAGACACTGCAAATGGGTCCTTGCTAAGCAGTTCCTCAAAGTTTGGTGGGGATATCACTTGCAACTCATGGCCGGTGCAGGCCTCTTCCACCTTAACTCCGTTCTCAGCCTGGACGCCAATCGCCTCTTCAACCTCCCTTCCTTCTTCATGTGGTATCACCCCTGGGAAATGATCAAGAACTCCTCCAGCTTCACTTTCGTCATCCTCCACAACTTCTTTCTGCACCCTTTCTTGCTCTTCTTCTTCTAGCACGGATTGGAGAGCAAGTTGCCAAGCAATTTCTTTCATGAGATCTTCCTGCATCTCCTCACTCATGCCCGCCTCTTCAAAGCTCAGTTTGGGGTGTGGGAAGGTGTGGTCGGCTACGACATGACACGCCTGATCATGATCATCACGGGAGCTCTCCGTGACAACTTCAGTGTGTTCCACAATGCCCTTGTAGCCTTCTTCTTCCTCCTCCTCTTCTTGTAGGGTAGCAGAAGGGTGATCTGGAGCAGGTTGCGCCCAAGATCGCTCAAGATCATCGACGCTCTTCTTAAGGCTCAGGAGGATCTCATCTGTTTCACGATAGGCCTGGACACACTGATCCATCCTGGAGCATGTTCTCTCACAGTCTCGAGCAAACTGCTCCATGAGTAACTCCAGCGCTGATGGCCCTTCTGGTTGTGGGAGAAATTCTTCTTGATAATGAGGTTGTTCTTGATATGCCCAGGGGTCCGGTTGTTCTCCGTAGTAAGGGGGTTGGTACTGGAACCCGAATCCATAGTCTTCTCCGCCTTGATTGCTCCAGGGAGTCTCGGGGTAATACCACCCAGATGGTGGTGGATACCCCCAATGATTGGAGAAGCCATTAGGATCCATGATTCAGATCTGCACCAACAAAAACAAAAACACCCAAGTGAAAAGCAAGGGTGGAAAAGAAAAGAAACGAAAAACGCTAAAGTAACAAACTTCTGCCTTTCCTAATACTCTAGAAAGTCCCCGGCAACGGCGCCAAAAACTTGACTCGCTACGACACAACTCCTAACAAAGGCCAAGTGTAACCAATGAAAGGGACTGCAGTATAGTGGCTCAAGTGATAAATATCGAATCCACGGGTCTCTAGAGTTACTATTACTCAACTTCAGTTTATTATTTAGCAAATCAGATTAAGATGAAAGAACTAAAACTACTCTAGCAAACTACAGTTAAAGTTAATCTAATTACAGGTTGGGAACTCACTTAGGTATGATTCCCCCTAGCCACTAGCCAGATTAATGATTGATGATCTCTAACCTGTTTCACTTTCATTCACAATGCGGAGAATCCTTGACTAGACCTTGAGTCTCGACTAAAGGAACAAGGCCCTCTTGAGTCAATTGCCTAGAGGGACGTATCCTTCTCTAGAACAACTGATCAAGGCGTTCTGAACTAGACTCCCTCTATCGAAAGAGGTTCTCAATCGATACAAAGCAGTGAATCAACCCTCGACTAAAGCAATCGATCCACTACTATCAATCTATGGAGCTCTATTGACCTAATCAGGTATTCCCTCTCATAGGATCAAAGCAGAATCAATAATCTCGACTAAAGCAGAATTGAATCATGAAAACATGCATAGATTGAATATGAACTCAAGATTATCCAGTCAGAGTACTCATACAATCATCCAATCAAACATAGCTAGGGTTCCTCAAAACCTAAGTGAAGGGAAGTTACTCCATAGAGAAGAGAGAGACTGCAGTAAGAATCTTCAGATGATCAGTCTTCAAGTCCGGGCTTGTTCCTCGAGCTTCCAAGGCGAAGAAATCCTCCTTCTCTACTCCAAGAATGCCCTCAAATCGCCCTCTCTCTCTAGGGTTCGTCCCTTGGGTGTTTGGGATCCAAAACCCAGCTCTCCCTCTCATTTGGCTCGAATTTGGGTTAAAAACAGCCATTCCCGACTCGCACGGCCAGGGTGCACGGCCGTGCACATCACCATTCTGGCCGTGCACCTCAAAACGCGGCGTATCAATTAGTTGAACCTCAGCCAACTCGCACGGCCAGAATTGTATGTTGCACGGCCGTGCGGATTTCACTTGTGCCCGTGCGTGCCCACGCACAATCCCGCACGGCCAAACTGGTCACTTGCACGGCCGTGCGTGGCCACGCACAATCCCGTGCGTGCCCACGCACGATCCCGCACGGCCATGCAGCCTCCCTGGTCTGCCCGTGCAGCTTGCTCAGCCTCTGTTTAATGCTTCGTTTCTCCCTTGTCCGGACTCCGAATCAATCGCCGTTTGATCCCAGACGCTCGTAGTCTCGTCCTCTTTCGTTTCATAACAAGCTTGCATGATTCTTTGTCCATAAAGTGAGGTAGAAATCCATTCTTCTTCAGGTCATGCCCGAGTTTCTTCTCTCGAATCGTCAATTGATCTCTGATTGACTTGAAACTTGCGCCTATGCTTCACTTTATGTGCTAGGACCTGAAATGGGACAAAGGAACACAACCTAGCATAAAATAGGCCAAAGACGCAATAATTCAAGCTCAAACAATCAAGAAACAAAGGGGAAAACATGTGCAAATACCGAGTCATCATGTATGTTATTGTTTATGGGCTAATAAATGAATTAACCATTAGTTACAACAATTTATTCTAAACTTGATAAGTAATCTTTGACGGTTCATTGTTTAGGATATAAAGTATATGGTTAGGGTATAAGGTATAAGGTACATATGGTTTAGGGTGTATATGGTTAAGGTATAAGATATTGATGGTTTTGACGGTTCTAAGTTTTTTATTAACATATGTTCACTTGAAGTCATTTGAAGTCTTTAACGGCAGGAGATCCCTTTTTAATTTATGTTTATGGTACGTGGTTAGGGTACAAGGTATGTGGTGTAAAGTATAGGATATATGGTTAGGGTATAACAATTAGCAAATATCACTTTTTATCTATGTTTTGAAAATCAAAGTATGAATTTCACTTTTAAATTAACTATACTAGCAAAATCACAACTCAAGGACATATGGTTAGGGTATAGGTTATGTGGTTAGTGTATAATGTATTGATGGTTTAGGGTATACAATCAACAACATATACTAACTTAATATTGTTGATTGAGGGAAAGGCTAAGTGTATAGGATATATGCTATTGAGTAAGTTATGATTGAAGTCACAATAATTTTACTAAATTTGATAGCTAATCTTTAATGGTTCAATTTTTAGGATAATTCGAACAATTTTACAAATAACTCGTTTGACAACAGTTTACTAAAGTTATTTGGGCAATGAGTTATTTTGAAATAACTCCTTTTATCACTATGCTTTTGCCAATTACCACACGCCAAATACCAGATTTGCATGGTTATACTAAACGAGATACTTTAATTCAATTACCTACTGAATTAATACTAAAATATCAAATAAACAATTAACGGTGTCTTTTGGTTGCAAATATTGATATCACCATTACTATTAGCTATAATACTTTACCAATTATGATTAATTACATAACAAGTTTGCAAGTCATACAAATTGATTTAAAATTTTGACTAGTTTTTTTCAAAAAAATAAAGTATATATATACGAGGTAGAAATAAATTGGTTAAAAAGTTGAGAAAATATTTTAAATTAGTGTAATAAAATGTGTAAGTTGGTAATGAGTAATGAGTTAAGTTACTTGATGCGCTGGCCCGAACAACCTGAAACCCGACCCGCCCGCAACCCGCCCGACCCAAAACCCGATGAACCCACAACCCAATTTGCCTGCAACCCGATTGAACCCGCAACCCGACTAACCCGCAACCCGTTTGAACCCGAACCCGCAACCCGACTAACCTGCAACCCGTTTGAACCCGAACCCAATTGAACCCAGCCCGAACCCGCCCGATTGACACCTATACCTATAAGGTGGTTTTCTAAATTTGAGATGATATTTATTGAATTAATATTGTTTTGAGTGTTTTTAGAAGTTCTGGGTACTAAAAGGTAATTAAAAGTATCTGAGGCTCTAACCGAAATTCGGTGGTACCCTGCCCCCAATTCGAATAGTTAAATGGTATCTGGAAAATTTTACCCTAAAATTATTATTTATGGGCCGTTTGGAAGTTGCGATTGTAAGTGTTGTAATTTGTTAAATACATGTCCACAATACAATGGGCTAGTGTGGAATTACAATAGTTTTTGCAGAAGGACCTGGCTAGAGCTTTTAGAGAAGTACTTTTGAAAAATAGTAGTTGAGTGTTTTTGAAACCGAAAAACACATAAAAGTGAACCAAACATAGGCAATGTTTGGAAGTGTCAAGTTGCAAAACAATGCATATATTATATAGAGTGGGTCCCACCAAAATCAACAAAAATAAAAGATTATACAATATCAACTAAAAATTGTGATTATTGTGATTGTTAGTTTAATAGTTGGGCCCTATTCTTTCTCCATTTATATTTATAGTTCATTTTGTTTTATATTAAAAGTGGAGGGAAAATGTGACAATTCTTTATAAAAATAACTTTATGACAATCAATTCATAAATTATAATCTCAACAACCAAACAATGAAATGTCATAATGCATTTATTATATTAATACATGCATTTATATCATAGTGACTCATAACAATACAATGATTTAACATACGCAACTTACAAACGACCCCTTAGATTAAAATTGTGAGTAGGGGTGGGCAACGAGAAACGAGTATTTGAGTATACCCATACCCGTCCCATTTTTTTAGGGTTACGAGCACCCAAATATGCGTTTTATTTATTGCGGGATGGGACATGGGATTGTAAACAATGGGTACACGCGGGTTACCAATAATACCCGTTTGGGTAATACGGGTACTCGTTATACCCGTTACAATTTTTTCCCTATATAAAAATCAAATATTGAAAGCCTGATATACAACAGTCCACCCATGCCCAGCCCGAGCCCATTCGGCCTGGCCAGCCCAGTTCATGTTTTATTACGACCGAATATGGACAACAGCTAGCTATCTCTTTTTTATTTGTGAGCAGGGCAACGAGTGACTTTTTTTGGACAATGAGAGAGTTCTTTTCATTTGTGGGAAGTGGGTGACTTTGTCTATTTCATTTGTGGACAACAGCTATGAATGAATAATCTCTATGGTTAGTGTTGATGTGACTTGAATCGGACTATTAGCCGCTACGACTGGTAATTGGAGGTCTCGCTGTTATTTGGGTTCGGGTTCTGGGCCTGGTCTGTAACCGTTTCCTTTGCCATATTGGATTAGGTTTAGACCCACATGGAGAAGTACTATAAATACTTCTCATACTCCTTTGTAATCTGTAATCTCCTCGATATAGTGAAACTGGCTCTCTCTCGCCCGTGGACGTAGCTAACACACATCGTGTTAGTGAACCACGTAAATCGTGTGTCGTGTTTTCGATTCTCGCTTTCGTATTCTTGCTTTGTCGATTCCGGCGATTTCCCGATCCGTAGCAGCGTGTTTATAACAGTTAGGAAATTTATTGTGGGCAGCAGTAGCATTGTTGTTCTTTTTTCTAGGTAGACACGGGTATAAACGGGTACCCGTTATCCATCCCGTATGGATAATGGGTACCCGTTAACCCTTATGGATTTAGGATATGAGATGGACTTTGTTCTCCAAATGGGACTGTGTACTCATTTCAAACGGGACAGATATCTCGTATCGTCCCGTTGTCCACCCCTAATTGTGAGCGGCAAATAGTAATTTTTTATACGACAAATAGTTGTTCATTATTATTAGTACTCTTCTCTTTCTCCATCACCCCATTACGATGTTGTCTTCAAAATGAGAAATGATGATTACAGTTGTCACATCAACTTCTTATCGGTCATTTCAATAAGGTACAATTGGTATCTGTAATCAAACCGGTTAGAAATGGATCACTATTAAACCTTGGCCTAAAATTTGGTCAAATTTGGGAATATCAACCTGCAGATTAGAAATCAGATTTCAGTATTTTCACACATGTCCTAAAAAAACAAATAACCTTCATGAGATTTGAAACAAATACGTCATGGTCACTAATTTCAATTATGCACCAAGACTACATGAAACTTTGTTATACATATTAAACTTATATAATATATAAATAATAGTATTTTTGCCTAAATTATTGTAAATATTAATAAAATTCATTTTATATACTTTAAATTTTATGTATATAATTTTTTTTTACTAGTTACAATTATTTCACGATAAATTATTTGGTTTGAATTAATTGTTTTAATTTGCTTCTTCCTAACTAATTTTTTAGTGTTTGCTATTTCCATTTTTTATGTATATTATTAAAAAAGCTTAACCAACATACACACTGGTTATACCATGTTCAGATCATTACACTTAAAAAACCAAAATACTATCATAAGTCGATTTGACAACGTTGATGACTCAGGAGTCGTTTGGAGTACAAAATATATACCGAGGATTTAGTGAATCCGTAGATTTTGTAGAAAATTGTTTTTTTTGTTGATTTTTCTATTGTGGATTTTAGGTTTAGAGATTTCAAATCTCTAAAATCTACGTATATCAAATTTATCATAATCAGAGAGATTCTATATCTTGCTTCGTTAGATTTTTTCTCCTACTTTTCTCTTCCTTTATTTATCACGTTAAATATATTTATCAACAAAGTTTTAATATTTCTCGAATCACTCTAATATTTTTATTAAGGATAAACATATTATTTAATATAAATTTTGTATTTCCATTTAATGGTTGTAGTTACCAAACAATAAACATTTTATGATTAAGATCTTTTTTCAACAATGCAAAGAGTTAGAATCTTTCGATTGTTGACAGTCTATATATTTAAACTCATATTCTCCAAACGACCTCTCAATTTGTCATTCACGACTTTATGCGGAAGGGTTTGATTACTACATAAATTCTTTTTACAATGATTTGACTAGGGGTGTGCAATGGTCTTGTCCAAGACCGGATCGCACCGGACCGAGTATAATGCGGTTCAGTTCTTGGTCCACATGAATTTTATATTTAATGAAAAAATGATGGACCGAACTGATATTTGGACCGAACTAAACCAAACTCGCACAGTGGCGGACCCATGATTTTGGGATAGGTGTAAACAACTAAACAATTATTCATAAATTGGTAAATCATCTTATACCAAATATCGTTCTTGATTAAACTCATATATGAAAAATATCATTTTGTAGCTTGCAGATGCAAGAGGTAAAGTCAACAATAATTTAAGATGGGAAATCTGGAAGGGTGGCCACAAGCGTTAACGTGGAAGTTTGAATTAGAATGAGTACGTCGCCGACACGATGCCAATAATTGGAGGACGAAAACAGGCGTCAACGTGACAAACAATAACTAAACTAGAAAGCAAGTTGGAAATTAACTTAAAGGAAAAATATATGGAAGAAGTTACGGGGAAAGACGATCTAGAATTCATTATCTAATTACCTGACTCAACCAGCTTATTAATCACTTTAATTCTCATTCAAATTATCGAGGTTATCGCTAAGGTGATTGCTATCTCTCTGAATACTCACTACGTACTAAGTAGCCAATTAATTGTTTACTCGTGTACAACCAACTAATTAACTACCTAGTCGGAAGCCCGACAACTCCTATATTCACATATTTTAATAACATTATAACAAAAAAAATTGTAATGTAATAAGGTGTGTTAGATAAAATTATCGAAGGTGTGTTAGAGGTCCCGTATTTAAATTTTTAATACCAAGAAAATGTGGGTTCCTCACAAATTTTCGGGCGAAGTTGAGTCTGCCGCTAAACCCGTTATAGTTTCCGGGCGTTCTCAAGGGACTACGTCATTCTCCGAGGAACGCGCAAAATATAATCAACTTAACGTTCGCTTATATTAGTAGAAGAGAGATAGGGAAAGAGTGATGAATGAGGTGGATATCTTTGCCTTTATGTTGAAACCCTGATGTTACACAAATGGACCGAACGCAATGATGGTCTGGTCCTTGATTCTATGATGTATTTCACTAATGAATCACAATTTTCATTAGTTTATCGAACCAAACCGTTGCACACCTCTAATTAGATCGTTAATGTTGTATATAGTTTGGACTTTTGGAAGCAAGCGGAGGTCAGTGGTCCAAGTTTGGTTTTTTCCGTTCCCCTCTCTTGTCTTGCCCCTAGGGCTACAAATGAGTTGAGCTGAGCCAAGTTTTACCCCACTTTGAGCTTGAGCTCGACCTCGAGCCATTTATTAACAAGCTGAGTCGAGTTCGAGCTAGACTTGTTTACTAAATTCTTAGATCGTATTTGATACATTCATTTTGTATGTCGTGTATGGTACATGTGATTGATGTAACGATAAAAATGATAATCTTATATTATAATTTGTAAGTGTCATATTGTTTAGTTAATAAATTTTAACTAGTTCAAATCATGTTGTTTCATAGTATCGAAACAATTTGGGTTAATTGCATGGTTGGTAATTGAGATTACAAAAAACGTTCAAGTTTAGTCACTCGAAATATTTAAATCCATTGGTGGTACTTTAATTTACTGAAACCGTTCACGTTTGGTCACCTCCGTCCAACTCCGTTAACTTTTGCTTACGTGGCGGTCAACTTTAAAAGTTCACCGTCAAGTGAGTGATGTGGCAATTAAAAAATTAATAAAATAATAAAAATTAATATTTTATAATTTCCACCTCATTTCTAACTATTCAAAAGATAAAAACAGGGGGATCTTTGGAGTTTGAAGGTGCAATACAGTAGCTCTTGGACTTGGAGAAGGCTGCTAAAACTAAGGGACATCATCTTGCCATGGATCACTCAACAAGGGGATGTCATTTACTGGGACTCTCAGGAAATGCAAATCTATTCTGTTCGCAGGGTATGGAAAACGCTCAGAAGAAAATCACTTGTTGTCCCATGGTACAAGCTTGTTTGGGAAAATTGTTGCCCCCCGAGATACAGTCTACTTGCTTGGTTGATCATGAGGAATGCCATAGTAACCAGAGTTAAGCTATTGAAGTGGGGTAAAATAACTAATGCATCTTGTCCTTTGTGTGGGGAGGGAATTGAGAACCGAGACCATCTGTTTCTCAGCTGCAACTTCTCTTTGAGGCTTGCTACACAGTTACGATTCAGGTTCCTGCACTATCAGAGTTGGGATGCAATGGTACAGGATTTAAGTGCAGGGATATGCAGAGATGCACAAGATGGGAGATGGCATGCTTTAGTATGGTGTTTGTTTATTGCCTTCATTTGGAAGGACAGATGCAGAGTGGTACATGGATCGCCCAGACAAAGTCCAGAGAAGGTAGCTGATCAGCTCCGGGAGGATTTGCAGTTCTTAGCATGTGGAAATAGAGGATTGTGGGATGCTCCTACCAAACTTCATTACTTATAGGTTTTACTTTTACAGTTTTCTGTAAGTAGTTGATATATAGGAGATAGTAGCAAGACAAACGCTTGGGGATATTTTATATTCCCACTTCGTTGTATTCGCCTTTCTTGGAAATAAAGCAACCGATTCAACAAAAAAAAAGTTAAAAACAAAAGTATTAATTATTAAAATTAAGAACAAACAGGGAACTAACCCAGAACGTTGACCGCCACCACCACCAGGTCGGCTTGGTCCACAGATACCTTGCTGATGCGAACGGGGTCGTGATGAAGATCCCATTTCAAAAATAGCCCGGACGGAGCAGCGGGTGGAGGCGGGCCCGGCGTCGGCGGGCATTTCAGCGGAGGAGGATCAGGCGTGTTGTCGCGGAAGTTCGGGGTCGCAGCTGATAATGTCATGGACGCCAGACTAATTGATGTTGAGGGCAGAGTCCTGGACAAAACATCAATAGGGAGAGATCTGTTCTGGGTGAATCGTGGCGGTGGAGGGAACATGAGTCGGTTGGTTCGGGTTTAACCATTCTAATCACCCGACCCATGCACTACGGTTTGAGAATTATCAAACACAAACCCCCCCAAAAATATTTAAACTCTACTGTTTGTTTCTAATAGGGTTGGGTCGGGTTGGCGATATTTTTAAGTAAAAACCCAACCCAACATAAAATATATAATTATTATACATCATAAAAATATTTTATTACAGCCAAAAAAACCTCTCTCTCTAACCTCTCTCTGCTACTCGTCTCTCGCGATCGCGATGGCGGCCTCGTCGTCGGAATCTGTTCCGACGACGGGAAAGGGTTCGGGGGGTGGTTCCTGGGCGCAATTATTCGACATTGCTCCTGAGAATCGGATGAAATATCGTCCGCCAGAGCGTGTCCATGATGGTTTCCGCATCCCTCGGGAGGTCAAGCAAAAGGGGGAAGAGCGATGGCGGGATTGCTTAATTGGGCAATTCGTCGGAGCTCAACCTAAGGTGGCACAGCTGCAGACCTGGGCTACTTCAATTTGGGGGCGAGATGGGATTGTTCGGGTGTGTAAGTTTGGGCCTCGTCTGTTCGTTTTCCAGTTTCCTTCTACATCTACAAGCAAGTGGGTTTTCAAATCGGGACCATGGCACTATCAAGGGAACCAGCTCTATCTCAGGAAGTGGGCACCAGGGATACAACCAGTTGCCCCTCAAGTAGAATCTCTTTCTATCTGGGTTAATATTTGGGGTATCCCTCTGGAGTATCACTCGGTGGATGGGTTGGAATGGGTTGCTAGTACTGTTGGACCTCCTCTCTGGATGGATAAAACCACAAGGGTGTGAGGGCAGCTAGGGTATGCCAAAGTGTGTGTTGACCTTGCTGCGGATTGTGGGTTTCCCTCTAAGATCCGTCTATATCCTGATGATGATCCGGGCTTTGATGTTGAAGTAGAATATCTGAATTTGCCTAGGGTTTGCCCTGTATGTGTTGTTTATGGTCATGACTGCAACTCCCTGGCTCGAAGCAACAAGAAGTGGGTAGTCAAGCAGAGAAATCCGATTCAGACTGATGTTGTGACAGGCTCAAGGGAAGTGATTGTTGATTCTGGGCTGGTTCCTGTGGTTGTTCCTGTGCAACAAACTGAAATAGAAACTGAAGTGAGCCATACTATAGTCCACTCTGTGGTTAGTGCTGTACTGAATGATAAAACACAGCAGGTAGAATCTGTAGCTGAAGGTGTTGGTGTTCAGGATGTCTCTACTATTCCTCAATCAATTGGGAGTGCCAATGTTAGGTTTGTGGATGTGGTTCCGGGATCATCAGTTGAAACTGGGAGTCCTAGTTCTCTACTACAACAGCCTGTTGAAACTAGTTCACCTGTCTAAGGGAAGCTAGTTTCTCAGACTCCTGCATTTGCTAAAGAGAAAAATCCTTGGATAACTATTGGTTCCAAAAAGAAACCTACTACACCTAGAGTTGTTGAGCCTGTTCTTCCTCGCAAAGGGGGGAGAGCTGGAAAGAAAAAATGAAGATACTTACATGGAATATCCGGGGTTTTAATGACCCGGATAAGAATAAAGTTGTTCAACAGCTAGTTAATAGACATAGTATAGATATTATAGTTATACTAGAGCCTAGAGTTAGAAGTAATAAAGCTGATGAGCTGATCAATAGAAGATTTTCTGGTTGGAAGTCTAAAGTCTCAAATAATGTTGCTGGACTGGGGAAGTTATGGCTTCTTTGGAAGGCTGATGTTAAACTTCAGGTTTTACATATAACAGATCAAATCATTCATGTTTTGGTTGGGTCAGGGGTTACATTCTTTCTGTCTGCCATCTATGCATCAAATGAAGAGGCTGACAGAAGACTTCTCTATTCTGACTTGGTTAAGTATCAAGTGAGTTCTCTTCCATGGGTTGTGTTAGGTGACTTCAATGCTACTGGGGATCCAAGTGAAGCTTCAAATAGTCCTCAACTATCTAGTAGCATGTCTGATTTCAGGCAGGTGCAGTTTGACTGTGAGGTGGAAGAGCACAAGGCTTCAGGGCCATGGTTTACATGGATCAATAAGCAACAGGGAAATCCCATAGCTAGGAGACTGGATAGAGTCTTTATTAACACAAAATGGTTGGCTGATTTGCCTTTGAGTACAGTGGATCTTCTTGACCATTGTCCTATTCTGTTAGACTCTGACTGTTCAGTGAAATCTTTGCCCAAAATGTTTAAGTTTTTTAAGTTCTGGATTCAGCATCCTCAGTTCATGGATTTGGTTAATCAGGCCTGGAGTTCACAAGTAGATGGTTCCCCTTTGATTCGGGTTTGTCAGAAGTTGAAGATTCTGAAGGGTTATTAAAGAAATTAAATAAAGATGTGTATTCTGACTTGACTGAGAGAGTTAAGTTGAAGGCTGCTAAGTTGCTTCTAGCTCAGGCTGAAGCACTTAGCAAACCATCTTCTCTTACTTTTGAAGCTGAGATTAGAATTTCTAAGGAGGCAAAAGAGTTGAGAGATGCTGAGGAGTCATTCTTTAGACAAATATCTCGAGAGGTTTGGTTGAAGGAGGGAGATGCAAATACTCCTTATTTTCACAGATCAGTCAAAACTAGACAGAAGAGAAATATGATTAGATCTCTTATTGATGAGTCTGGTTAAAGGGTAACAGACTGGGATGGTATGGTGAAGATAGCAGAAGAATTTTACAGAAAATTTTTGGGAGAGAAAGATAAAGAGGTTGTTTCACCTTATGTGGATCATATTAGAGAGTTACTGATGAAGAAATTGCTACCTGCCCAAGGGGATGATCTGTGTAAGCCAGTTACTGTAGAGGAAATCAGAGCCACAATGTTTGGCTTTAATGGGGAAAAGGCCCCTGGCCCTGATGGTTACCCAGCTTGCTTCTTCCAGTCTACTTGGAGCATTGTGGGAGCTGAGGTAACAAGTGCTATTCTATACTGCTTTCAAATGTCTAGTATCCCAGTTAGTGTTAACTCCACACTCTTAGCCCTTAAACCTAAAGTCCAAAGCCCTGAAGAAATGAAGTTTTTTTGCCTAATTGCTTGCTGTAACATACTCTATAAGTGTATGTCTAAGATACTAGCGACTAGATTAAGTTCTGTCATGCCCTGTGTTATTAGTGAATCCCAAACTGGCTTTGTTAAGGGTCGAGTCATTGGGGAAAACATTTTGCTTGCTCATGAACTAGTTCAAAAGTATGGTAGGAAAAACATCTCCCCCATATCCCTAGTTAAAGTTGACCTAATGAAAGCCTTTGACTCTGTGGATTAGAGTTTCCTGTTTAAAGTGCTTCAAGCTATGGGTCTCCCTGAAAAATTTCTTGCTTGGTTAAGAATGTGTGTCACCACACCGAAGTTTAGTATTGGTTTTAATGGTGGCTCAGTAGGTTTTTTCCCAGCAAAGAAAGGATTGAGGCAAGGGGACCCTCTTTCCCCCTATCTCTTTGTTGTGGCCATGGAGATATTCTCTTGTCTGATGAATAAGGCTGTTAACCAGAATGTCATGCCTTTTCATCCTATGTGTAAAAGACTGAAGCTCACCCACTTAATGTTTGCTGATGACCTCTTATTGTTTTCTGATGGCTCAAACTTTGGGATTCAGTGAATTAAAAAGGTTCTGGATGATTTTAGATACATGTCTGGGCTACAGTCAAACCCTTCCAAGTGTGAACTCTACTATGGAGGCATTAATGACCAATGGCAGGAGCTGATGTCTTAGTTTTCAGGTTATAAGTTGGGGTCACTCCCAGTTCGTTATCTGGGCCTCCCTCTGCTTTCTGGTAAACTTACTATTAAAGCCTGTAAACCTCTCATAGATAGAGTTATGAGCAGAATCAATAGTTGGAAGTCAAAGACTCTTTCTTATGCTGGCAAACTTCAACTTGTGATATCTGTGTTGTATAGCCTCTCTCACTTTTGGATGTCAATCTTCATTTTGCCTAAGGCTGTCATTAAAGCTATAGAGAAAATGTGCAGTGATTTTTTGTGGGGAGTTGGTGAGGGTGCCAGGAAGAAAGCAGTGGTTGCTTGGTCTCGAATTACTTACCCTAAAAGAGAAGGGGGGCTTGGACTTAAAGATATGTGCACATGGAATCTTGCTTGTGTGGTTAGGCACATCTGGGCTGTTTTGCTTAGACAAGGGTCCTTATGGGTTGCTTGGCTCTGGGAATTTTGTATAAAAGGGGGAAACTTCTGGACTCTAACATCCAAAGCTGGATCTTGGCTATGGCAGAAAATTTTGAAGATCAGAGATAAACTCAGGGGATGGTTTTCTGTAGCATCTGATGGGGTTTATTGGAAGGGTGAACTTATGACTAAATTTTGCATAAGGTATGAGAGGAGCTTCGTCCAAAAAGGGGGGCTGTCACTTGGAAATCTCTGGTTTGGAAAGGTCCTAGTATCCCTAAGAATCAGTTCCTGGTTTGGCTGGTTGTCACTGACTGTATCATAACTGGAGAGAAAGCTCAGGGGTGGGGTGGCTCTGGTGATTAAGGATGTGTCTTCTGCTCGTGCAGCTTGGAAACGAGATCTCACCTTTTTGCTGATTGTTCTATGTTTAAGCAGTTGTTTGCAACTCTGTTTGCTAACTTTGCAGATCGAGTCCCTAGGGATCAATGGAATGCTGAGCTTCAGTGGGCTACATCTACTTTCAAAGGTTCCACAATCTCAGCACAATCTGGGAAGCTAATTTGGCAGGCCTTAATTGCGTCAATTTGGAGGGAAAGATGTCTGGTTAAGTATGCAGGGAAGAAGGTTGATTTCCATGATCTGGTTCAGCGGGTTAAGGGAGATATCAGGGTGGTTGTTGATCCTGGAATAGTCTGCTTGTACTTTTGAGTTCTTCAGGTGAACTGATAATTGTTCTGTTATTGTTTTAAGTCCCAGGGGTCTGTTGTTCCCTTTGCTCAGCTGGCAGAGCTGTTGCCAGCAATGTACTTGGTGCTTTTGATGAAATGAAATCTCAACCGATTCATAAAAAAAATTATTACTAATTAAAATTTCAAACGAATAAACTGAGGTGAAAGGTATCAAAATTCACAAATGTTATTTGAATTTTAATAAAATGTGATTTACTTCAACATATGTCTAGTTTTTTTCACGATATTTG